GGACTTACACCATTTTCGACGCGCTTTACCTCGAGAAGGCAGTCTTGTATGACTCTCCTTTGGTCATCTTAGTGTATAAGTTCCTTTTGATGATTTTTAATGCAAAAATACTCTGAAAAGGTGAAGTTGGTCCATTTAATCGTCAGGTTTCAGTTTGTGATCCGGTGTTTTACTAGCTAACGTAGAATCCTCCTTCCTTGGTTCCCATTAGACGTAAACGTGTATTAATGTCTTTTCGTTGATAGCTCCTTGCTTTGTTTCTTCTCAGATGATAGGAGCCGGTATGAAATAAAATTGTGGCTGTTTCCGTTAACACAATGCGTTCGGTAAATGAATAATATGAGGAATGAAACCTGACAAGTAAATGAACCAACTTCACCTTTCCAAAGTATTTTAGCATTCAAAATCATCAAATGAAACTCAACACTAAGAATGACCTGGCGAAAACCATTCAATTAAAAGCAAAGAAAAACAAATATTTGGTTGGAGAAAACGCTCCAAAACACATGATCCATTTCGCTTGTTTATCAGACGAACTACCTAACTGTTGTTTCGACAACCCGAAGCTCTTGGGTTGACGACAAAAGGACAATGACTTTAATCACGGAAGGAAGTTGAACGAAAAAGATGAAATAAGAGAAGTAGTAACTAAGACGCTCATGCAAAACTTATGCAATATAAGGAATGGGTTGAAAGGACAACGGACTGAATGAAGGATAATAAGCAGAGCGTGTTACAAACACGAGCGTGCATTATGAAAGATTATACTTGGAAGGCTACAGCCATCTGAAGGACTATTATATGTATACAGGAATGAAGTTATCAAACGAGAGTTAATCTCAACTAGCATTACCAAGTGAGAATACATTAAGCCAGTTTACTTACTTTCAGCACTTGTGAAATATAGATTTGTTTTTTGCTAAGAAACATTACTGTCCATAATTTAATAAAGTCTCCTTTGTAACTTTTCAGAGCGTGTTGGTGACAATATCGTTATTTTGCTTTCGAATAAATGGATCCGAACAGACTTAGAAATTTTTAATAGGGAATTTTGTACTACTAGCAAAATCTGAGCTACTTTCAAAGCTAGAGTCATCTGGTTTTGTACAAATTATATTATTAATCTTCCGTTACATGGCTGACATCAATCTGTCATAATTTTGAAAACATCCAGTTTATAGGGTCTTCCCTGGTTGAGGCTACACTTCATGATTTAATAAGTTCCTTCACGTCGCTTCCTACTTGATTATGAACGGAAACTGGCGCTTTGAGGTAAAGCGCGTCGAATACGGTGTAAGTCCGCAGCCGCATTGCTTCTGTGAGCCATTTGCGCCCTACTGAATAATCGCTATTGTTCTTTCATACCCTTTTTTACTACCTTCCTCACGAACTCTCATCCCGTCGCCGAGAGTCTCTCCTGTTATTCTTCTTTTTGCGTCATAATGCTCGTAAATTCTTCGTTTTTTTTCTTCGTTATTTGTTCCTGTTATATGAGTGTTGAATGAGAAAAAGATGGGAAGGCAAGAGAATAAAGTGAAAGTCAAGGGATAGATAGAAGAGACAAAAAAAAGGAGAAACCAACGAATACTTCGTTGAAGCAGCGATCCATTCAATCATAGCATTGCAGTGCGACAAAGCGCTGCGTCATGGAAGTTGAGGCGCTAGCGCAGCGTTCGTTCGCTCAGAGTTACAACAATTGAATTCACGACGCACGCACTCCTTTGCAAATTTACCTGTAACAACACGGTGCTCCAGGAGATGTAAGCATCGGCATTCATGTAGTCGTACATGAAGTCTATAGCTCGTGACAACCAACTCCACAATCTCGGAATGTGGGACGTATATTGAGTGTAAAACACTATGGTGACGGTTGAGCATGGCGCAGCTTTCCCATTTGAGGCAAGCTGTCATTTTTTCTGTTCACGGGTCCTGTCTTGAGCTGGACAAGGGACATGAAAGAAACAATTGTCCGCAAGCGGCAACAGACCAAGAGCGTAGCCGCCTCCAATTTAACTTAAATACGCAGCCACGTCCACTCTACCTCCTACCTAGTAAATTTTGGCGATGTGTGCGAACAGTCATTGACTCTGGAGCCATTCATCATTTTCACCAGGCGGTGTGATAGAATTATACCCCGCTTAACTGTGCTTTCCTGGCCGCGAACGTCGCTACATTTTATTCTGATGGGGCTGCTACTAACAAGTTATCGAGGAAGGGTGGAAGGTCTGGTGACACAGGCATCATCTATTACTGGATGAACAGCGCCGGTGATGAGCTACCCTTCCAGAGATGCTAAAACGTTTAGAGGCATTCTATTGGTCATGCTATCTCCTGTGACCCCCGCCGCTACATAACGTAAGTAAAACGAAGATTTAGAGGTGGATCGAGGTCAGGGAGGCTGAGCTAGCTTATCGTCGCTAGGCCGTGACGGATTATTTCGAACATTTTCGAATTGCGAAAGTGGTTCATACTGCAATTCGCGCCATCTGGTGGAACTTCTGCACGTCGTGTCTTACGTTGCCCTAAAGCCGTTTTCATTCCAAAACTCAGCTGTGTTGACGTTACCTAGCTGTGGTCCACTTTAGCTGAGACGTCTTTGCTTCCCAGCAATACTCCAAGCAATCGCCGCAGCACAACTGGCTAATTCTGTGCGCACTCCTTTCCAACGCTTAGATGTGTGTTCGTGCGGAAACATCGTTCCAGATCTTTACCATGCAACCCAACACTAATTTATATACAGGTCCTTCACCGCGACGATACGAGACGATATTGGTGGCTTGTGGAGCAATTTCTGAAAGGAATGAGTCGTCGAGCACCAACTGCATGGCACCAGGCTGTGTAAGTGCTACTGCTTCCACACAGGACCAAAGATGTTTTGCGGAATACAGCGTGCAGTCGCATTTTACGTGGGGCAGGAGAGGAGACTTCATCTCAGTAGTCACCCTTTATTAGAGTTGTACCGTCAACAATTTCTACCGTTATTGGTATTCCTGGTACAAGCTGGGTGTGCCAAAAATACGAGCGTAGTTCTACACCGTTTGGCTTTCTCAAATTTTCTCAACGACTTCACTCATGGTCAGTTGGCTATACCGCTGGATGATAGTTGATGTAGCTTGAATGAGCAGTGATTGTAGTTTTATACTGCTGGCTCGAATTACTGTTCCCTCGTCTCCTGTGTTCGACATGGTTCTCTTCCCTCACAGAAATGTAATTGCTTAGTTTCTCAAGCATGAATAGCTTGCAGCAGGTAAACTCCTGAAAAGCAAAAAATATGAAACCCACCGTTGGATGAACTGTTGCTCTAGGACATCCGATTGACCTCCCAGAAGATTTATTCGATTCCACAAGAAAATTTAGAGTGGGTGAACAGTTATCACGCAGTGCAGTTCAAGGAGACGCTGAAAAACTGCTAAAAAATGTGTGAATAAGCTACACGCCAATGAAACGCTAGGACTAAGGCTTTGTTGCTGCCAGGGGCTCGCAATATTACTTCACCAATGAAGAAAAATTGAGTCCTAGACTGCGATGGTCCCGGTTAACTTCAGCCCTCTGGCATTGTCTTCTCCTGCGTGGAGCTGTTCACCGTGGAATCGATTTTCAAATTTCGTCGAAAAGACCATGCACTGATTCGAAGGACCGGAGAAAAGGGCGGTATTAAGAGCGTTAACGACGTGCTGCATGCTGGAAAAAAAATCGTGATTCTGGCCGTAATCGTCCGTGAACTATACAGTGCTCGGCCTCCTCACCTCCATCCAGAAGCATAAGAAGAAGTAACTCTCGAGACGCGTGCAGAGGCCCGCACATGGATTTTGTGAACTGCAGAATCGCAACCTCAGTTTTTTTCGGCTCTGCTCTTGATCTAACCAGGATTCAGGACTACTTCTATGATTCGAAGATGGTTCAGTGGAGGTGCCGAGAGACCTCACCCAAATTCGCTAGCTCTCTGAAATGGACCAAAAACTAATGGAATATTTCGTTTGGTCATTCTAAGCACCCTACACGCTGCTGTCGAACCGAGACTATTCAGAAGAACGAATCGACATCTGAGGACTGAATCCTGAATCCCTCCAGTTACCCGCATGCCACGATGCACTATGCTCCATCTCATTTGTAGATTTTACCATCCAAAACGATCTGCCAAGCCTGCACTCCGCAATATGTAGCAGGACTTTCTCGATAAGGTCTCTTAAGCCTGTGTTCTCAATCACAATCTTTCATACCGTCGTTGACGCATCATCGAAATTTTTGAGTGCTAATTCGGTAGGGCACCCTCTTTTTTCTTGTACTATGATTTCGGCGTTTCAAAGCTTTGATACTTCTGACACCTAGCCAATTAGGTTAGGTCTGATATATAGAGAACAAGACATAGGAGTTCAGCCAAATGGTTAGTTTCGAAGGGATCATGGGAAATTGGGGGAAGGAGCCTTAGTGGGAAGTTCTCACAGTGGCGTGCTTGACTCTGGTTCACAAATACATATGCTTCGTACATACAAGCTCAAACACTCTCAGCTGCATAAGCATGCCCTCTGCAAGCAGGCATTGTCGTTCATCCGAAAAACTACTAATTCGATTCCAGGCGTTTATTAGCCCTGAGGGCAAATCAATGGCGAGAGGTAGAAACTCGACGACGAATCTGCGAAATTGCTTGGCGCAATCTTCCGAAGGCTAAAATCGAAACACAGCGTCTAGGAATATCTACGTGGGTCCTGGACGTTATTGTTTAAGATAGCTTCCAAAGGGAGACAGTGCCAACTCTGAAGTTGAAGTGTTGTTCAAGTGTCGACTTATGTAGTAATCGCACAACAACTTCACTTGAATTGTTTCCTGCTATTCTGATGATAGTTTCCTGATACTTCCTGATATCTAGCCAAATTTTTAGATCCTTTCAGGGCCCTGAAAAATATCTGTGTTGTATTGGATGCAAATATGAACAATGACTTCAAAGACTTACCCAAGCGATTTCATCTCGAGTCCGTCGACTACTGGTTACGTCGCTTTGAAGACAACGTCAGTTTTCTACACCTAAGCATTCATACAAAATGGCGACCAGGGCTCGTCATGGAATAGGAATGTACGCTGTGAGTGAAACATGCACAACAGATATGGTGCTCATCCTTTACTTGGAGAAGTACCTAACCTTTAGGTAGCATGTAATGAGCAGAAGTCGGTGAGCTGAAGAAGTCGAAGGCCGAATCAGTTCGCCGAGTGTCTCTCACAATCTCCTTTGTATACGCCGTCGCGCTCCGCGAAATCGTGCACATCATCTGAGATCATAAGATCATAACACATAGCTTCTACCCTTACACCCCACTATCCAAAAAGTCCGTCCCGGACGATGACAAATGAAACGCTTACGGTGGTTGCAGAAGTAGAATGCTGCGATTCGTTGTTTGTAAAGAAGCTGGAAGATCTCGTGCGTACGTGCAAGCACAGAAGCGACCTTTCGAGCAACTCATGCCTGATATCCAGGGGTATCAAAGGTTTCCGAGGATCGGAGGGGG